ATCCTAATGGCAGGGCTGAGAGGTAGAGCAGGAATCTCTCTGTCCTCAGTTCTGTCAATTCAGTGAGGTCAATGAATCTCACCCTGTTAAAATGAAACATTTTCCCATTGTGCTGTAGTTCAGCATTTTCATGCAGCCAGCCACGCTGTTTTGTTACGTGTGACACAGATACCTGACTGTAGCTGTCTCTGGCTCTCTAACTGTCCTGGCGAAGGGAGAGTTAAGTGGATTATAGTGCATGGAACAGTGTAGGAAGTGTACCCACAAGCTTAGACAGCGGAGGAGGGTGGCTGTAATAGGTAGTTCGTTCTTTCCTTGCACTGTAGGCATCTGTTTTCGTCTGTGTCAGAACTTAACCAGCAGTTTCACCAGAATGCTTCTCAGCTACTCTCATGCATTAAGAAATTGGTCTAGAAACTGTCTAAGCATTTCAAAATATGAGTAAAACTTTTAAAAAGATGAAACATTGAACAATTTAAAGTTGAATCTTCATTTTTTAAAAAATCTGCTGAGTTTGTCAGGCACTTAAGTTGACTACCAAATGTTATTTTACATAGAAATATTGTAAATTAATGAAACATTATCAGGATTTTTCCAGTTAAAAAGTTTGTCCTGTGTCAGATATTTAACATTATGTCTGCTGTCTCCTATCTGATAAAGCCATTGCTTCTCTGACAAAATACATTGTAAAAAATTTGTGATATCACTGCAAATGTTCAGGAAAAGCTATTCAGAAGAATCAGAAATTCTCAGTGCATTTGGGAGTTGAATTGAGCATCTGTTATCTTCCCAAATTTTTACTCCTGTGATTATGAGCAGGAAGGAACTGAAAAATGTGTCCTTCCTGTTTTGCTGCACGTTGTGGGTTATGCTGTAGGGGAGACACCAGTCTATCTCTGTTAGTTAATTCTTGCAGTTGATTAGACTTAGGTTGTTAGTGTGATACTGCCAGGAAGGCAGTAGTCCTGACTGCAGCCCTCACCATTGGGACATACTGCTAATTTGCTGTGAGTTACATTAGTGTGAAAGATGCCACATGGACTGAAAAGTACACTTGAAAGCTGTGATCCCCATTAATAGTAACCCCACCAATGCACTTAACAAAAGGACTCTTTTTTTTTTACCACTGATTGTTGGGGGATTTGTTGTGGTTAAACCTTGACTTGCCTGAGCACAGGGTCTCTGTTTTCATGAATGCAACTTGTGCGTTGCTGTGTATCTTGCAAACAAATTTAAAATTGTCCTTTAATTCTAAAAAGTGTTCTTCTTTTCAAGTCACAATATAGACATCTTTGCTATATCTGCAAGACTAAAATTTTTACTATCCAGTGGTGCTGAAGCTAAGTTACCTGAGAAAGGTAATTATGAAATGTCTTGTTGCCTAAGGGAGAGATACCTTGAACTGGCAAACAGATCTTTGAGGATGCTTGTCTAGGATACCAATGATTTTTTCAAACTTCATATTTCTTTGTTTTAATATTTTTGACATTGGTTGGTGTTAGGAATTGTCCAACCCAGTAGTGTGAAGGAGGTGGGGCTGCTACAGCAATGTGTCCCTGGGTCCAGCCCATAGCAAAGCGGAGCATTTATTCCCAGTGGGAACATGTGCTCACAGTGCATGGCTACAGAGATCAACACAGAGAAAACGGTGCTTGCACAACCACAGACAGCACAAGCGACCTGATCCTCTGAAAGGCATTTAGTGAAAAAATATGTTAAGATATACAGTGTGGATCCCTCTAAGTAACTGGCCTTAGCTACTCAGTCTGTCTAGGAACCATCTTCTCATCCTTTGGTCTCCCCTGTTGCTGGCCTGGGCGTGCAGACCCATGAGGCTTGGAGCCCCAGTTCAGTTTCTGGTACTCAGGCCCCCTTGGACTTGCACACACGTGCACCGATGGAAACACTATGGATGCTTCCAGTTACTGGCCTTAGCCTTGTGGCAGCTGGCCATGGGATTGCCTCATACAAATGGGTCTTTTGGATAGCTGGTCCAAACCTACAGCCTTAACATTAACCAGCCCTCAAACCCCAAGGCCTTTCTGGTGGCTGTCTTGAACCTTCTGGTCCTTCCAGTAGCCATCACTCATACCCTAATCTCTTGTGGCTACATTAAGAGAGGTTCTCTCAGTAGCTCAGACATTCTGATCTCTGTGGAGTCTGGCCCAGCCTTACGACCTGTCTGATACCTGTCTCCCAAGCCTCTTGCTGTGTTTGTGGGCTAGCTTGGCTTGATACTTCCTGGTGATGATGTGCTTCAGCATGCATACCCACATGCTGTGTGCACATGCACATCTCTGGTTTCTGGCACTGCAGGCTTGTGGGCCCCTAAGATCTGTGGCCACCTTTTCGTTTGCTGGCACTTGGACCTCTGTGCACGCACATGCATGGAATGGAGCCTCCCTTCACTTGGGACAACAGAAATTAAGTTTAATAAGGAGGCTGGTGATGAGACAGATGACATGGCCAATCAGACTGAACCCTCTTGTCTTCCCTTCTTTTTGCATTCTCATTCCTCCCCCGTCCACCTTGATCCCACAGTGAGCCCCACGCCCCTGTAGGCAGCTGGTAAGGTGATCTGGAGAACCTCTCCTCTTGTCTCATCTGGTGGATCTTATGCCTGGCCCATGGGCTTAAGGCTTCTCCTGCATTAGGGCTGGGTTAGGGTGTTCCATGTAGCTGGGTCAGATTGCTGGGTTTCCTTCACCTGACATTTATTTTCTGCTTTCTGTTTGTGAAGACTGGCCTTTAATCACATAACCTATCATAGATGTGAGCAAAACATCCCTTCCTAATGCTGGAGGTAACTAACTATTCCTGTCTGACTAGTAACCTCACTCAGGTAACAGTGACTCTGCCTGTTTGATGAACAGATACAGTGCATCTCCCTAGCTTTGTAAAGTACTTGTGGTACTTATTTGTAGTCTTAAGCTTTTCTCGAGTTTTATTTAAAGTAAAAAAAAAAATCTTCCTGAGTGGCATTTTGAACAATTTTATTATGAATAACAGGAGGAAAATGCTGTCTGATGATTCCAGTCTCTTAAGCCTTTGTAGGCCAAGCTTTATGGAATATGGTAGCATATGGTCAGTTGAGTGAGACTTCTGTTGGCAGGAAAAAAATCTTAGTCTAACGTTATATAAATTAAATATATAATATATATATATATATGTATCTCCTAGTAACATTTTTGTTTCAAGCATGAAATCTATTAATCAAATCCAAGGCTGACAACCTTGTCATCGTGCTAAATTGGATATTGGAAAGGCCTAATGGGTCAGAGAAATTACTGACTTCAGCATTAATTCAAGCTTGCCTCTTGCCTTGGTAGTCTGTATAGGATAGTAGGTCAAGGCAGCTAAGGAAGACACAGCTCTTGACAGCTGGAAGAGGAATCCCCTGTAGTAATAATAAGATAATAATCTTCCAAACTAGAAAACTGTTTTTGCAAGATAGTCTATTAGTTTATCTTAAAAGTAATGGGAGACAGTTACTTCAAAAAGGTGCACAGTAGAGATCGTAAAGATTGTTTTTCAGATAAGCACCAGGTCTTAATGTGCCTTGAAGATTTTAAGAAACTTCAAAAGCCGCAAAGATTAATGTAAGAAGGAATCTGGCAGAGAGAACTTGTGGTTTATACCGTTATACCATTTATTTTCCCCAGAGGGGTGCAGATATCCCAATCTACATTATCCCTTTTTGTACCTGGATATTCTTGTGGAGACCATTCTTAAGTCATGAGGTAGAATGACTTGACTAATTCTTGCAAGCACGGGTATCTACAGGATAAAAGGATTTCCTGCGATCTCTACCAAAGAACTGCTCCAACCCCCAACACTTAAGGAGGCTTTGTGAAACAGTGTGTTTGTCAGGTCATTTTTCTCAAGTGTTGAAAAATAATAAGTTATACAGCTTGCTATTTTCGGTGCTGCGTTCATCTATTCAATCTGGTACTCACAAAACATTGGCCTTTACAGATACTAGATAAGTCCAGCAAGGTGATGCTGATTTTTTTCAGTCTTGCAAAGCCAACTTCCAGTAGAGTTCTGAGCTGTAGTCCTTAAATGCCTTTTCATCATCAAGCTTTTATGTGGGTTTTCTTTTTGCATCTCTTTCATTCACAGATACCAACTTTCAAAAGAGGATAAACACTATTGATACTGTGTCACCAGGGCAGGAAGAAGGAACATAGGAAGTCACTCAACAGTATACCCCTTGCTTTGCAATATTCTACTTGTTCATTCAAGATTTTAAATCTTGATGTTGATTTCCTCACCAGAACCTTTGAAAATATACTTCTATTTTTCTTCTTAAATATTTCCTGTATTACTGTTGTGTAAAATGTAGTGATGGACTAGTAAAACCATCTTTTTTAGTTGTTAGTGTAGCACAAGTCAATAAATTATTAGTCTTCTCATAGTATGGAGAAGGAAAACTTGCCAGATGTGGTGATTATTTCTGTAGTGCATTAACTTTTTGTTATGGAATTATGGAATTTGTTGGTGCTGAAAAAAACTTTTTTTTTTTGTTAAAAATCAGCTTTGCAGATTTGCACTAACTAGAGTAATGGATGAATAGGGATTGTGTTTAAATGGACAATGTAACTTCAAAAACATTCTACTTGCTCCTCTGCTTGACAAAGGTATTGCAAAGGTGGAGTTCTTGCCAGCAGTTCATGTTGCCATTCACTCTATTACCTGTGGACTTACACTATGCCAGGAACACAGAGTGACCCTCAAAAATTCCAGCCCCTCTGTTTTTCTCACTCTGAAAATATATGGAGAGGAAAAAGCATGATGACTATTCTGCCTTATAAAGAATCCTCCTGGTTGGCACCTAATACCTCTTCATTTTTTTATTACCCAAGTTCTGCTACATAGCCAGTGTTCTGCCAGGTAATTAACTATTCAAGTTATATTTGAGCTAGAAAATAACCTATTTAACTTTGCCATAAAATCAGTAACATTTATATAGGTAATTTTTGTCTTATCCTGTTAGGTGTAAGAATTTGTCTGTATCTTTCTGGAATTCCTATTGGATGCTGCCCTCTGATGTTTGTGGAATGAACTGCTTTTGGGAAGCTGCTTTTAGGTAGGATCTGTTATTCAATAGTACTTTATTATTTGATTGCAGAGAGGTGTAGCTAATAAGAATTTTTTGCTATTTAGCAAGGTGACAAAGCAAAATATTTTGATTGCTTCATACGCATTTCACCTGCTTATGTTATGGTTGCCTTTAGCTGGGCTTTCTCCTGTTGTATAATGTTTTTAAAATTGTAGACTCAGGTGTTACTACAAAAAGTAGAAATTTTTTTAGTTATGTTGCTTCATTAAATAGAGACTTGGTAACATCAGTAAAAAAAAATCTATCTGGAATATAGTCTGAAAGGTTACTGATTAATGAATTATTTTTGATAAATAAAACTTGCTGCACAGTAATACACATGATGTAACTTGCAATAAAAACTGACAGATGTGCTTAGTAGTTAAGTTTGAGGGTTTTTATTCAGATTACATGTTTTAGAGAATTTGAGGATGGGACAACTATTTTAGAATGTGCTTTAAGATACAGTATGTGAAAGCATGGACTGTATTCTTAAAGTTGCATCTTTAACAGGAAGTTTAAATGTTTTGATGTGGTTGTTCAGATGCTTTAGGCTGTCAGATTACTACTGAAGTAGCTTGAAAATAAATGGAAGAAGCCTTAAGCTACTTGACAGATATGTTCTCTAACCTGCTTAGTTCTCTTCAGTATATAACTAAACTTGTAAGTTAACTTTTCTTATATTTAAAATTTTACTGATTATCCTTTGTTATGTTTATCTCTTCCTCTTAGTCTGGAGATTGAATATTTCTAGGGAAGCAAAGGAAAAAAAAAGTTTAGCTTCACAAGAATTAATGTATCTTTTTAAAATTATGATTGTTGGAAAGACTAGATTTGTCCTCTTGTGTGGTGTCAGTGCTTTTTAAGATCATCACTTGCCAAGACGTTACTTCAAGAGAGAGCTTAGATTGATTTTCAATCTGTTAGTGAACTGTACCTGTAGTTTGGGACTGCTGCATCTTTCTCCCTGCCCTTTGGTAGCCAATGTGTCATCCTCCTTTGGCACGGGGCTTCATCTGACCTTCCCTTTGGTAGGGTTAGCTGTCTGAATGGACTCAGTTAACTTTTCTTTTTCCTGAAAGTTTAGCTTTTTGGGCGTTTAGCTTTATGAAATGTAGCACGGGGGGATAAGCCAAATGTCAGTGCTGTCGTGGTGGAGGTTGTAGGGGGCTTAGCCTGTGCTTAGTGGAGGGACAGGGTGTGATTGTAAGCTTCATTCATCCATGGACATCTGAGCCAGTCTAACAGTTATGTAATGCTGAAAGAGGAGAGGGTCTCGCTGTCTTCTGACTCCGTTGCCCATGATGATGCCCCTGAACTCTCCACAATACAATGTAATGCACTAAAATAGCAGAAAACTTCCATTCTGGATTTTCTGCCAGGCTTAAAGCAAGTGGGAACTTGGAACCAGAAGCAGAGAAACCCCATGCAGTTCCTTTGCATGTACCTTCAGCTGTAACTTGTATTATTCTATGAAGAATGTCATGTGTGGCTGTGAAGACAAGTCTGTTGAAACATGCACGGGGCAAATGCAGTTTCTTCCATTGTGAAACAATTGTCATGGTGAACCTCTAGTATTTGCAGAATTTCATTTTTATGCATTTTGAAACCGGAAGCTGCTTAAATGTGTAAAGGGGATGTGGTGTTCAGATTAATAATTTCAGATTGAGTTTGATTATTTTATCAATTAATTACTATTAAATTAATCCCCTATGTTGTGCAGGCTCTGGTGCTTGTTGAATTCGTCAGTAAGCCACTCTAACTTCAGAGGGGGCCCCCTTGCCTCCCCAAATGTCATTTATTTCTTGCTTTGTTTAATAAGTTCAGTTGGTTTGAGAGAGGTGCAGTGAATGTGTGTGAGATGAGATGGGTAAGATGGCAGAGGAGGAAGTGCACCCTCTTTGGATAGCAGCAGGCAGTTACAGCAGCTCAACATCTGAACATGCAGCCTGGGCCTCATTTCCTCATATGTGCTGGAATAACACAGAAGATAGTTGCAGTTCAGTTTCAGCTTTGGATGTGAGTGATAATTTTGTTTAATTCTCAAACAAAATACGTGCATTGTACTAGGTGCACTGAGAAACTGAAAGATTTAGACCTTTGATATCATCTTATGCTTTGAATGTGATACTTGGTAGTTATTGTCAAGTTTGCAGTCAGATTTTTGGAGGAAGAGGAATGAACTTAATTCCATGCAAGTTTTTTAACCACAGCAAATGAAGTCTAGAATTCTTGTTTTCTGAGACTGTATGTGTAGGGCCAATTCAAGATTCTTCATGAAGATAATTCCTCTTGAAAGCTTTTTCTGTAAAGAGGCAACATTGTGATTCCAAATTGGGTACCTTTTAAAATAAAAAGGAGCAAGACTTCTACCACAGTGTCTTATTCCAATTAATTTGATCCTGGGTTGACTAAGCCATTGTATTCTTGTCATTGTGTTCTTGTTAAGTGCAGTTGTTGTAGTGAGGTGCAGAATAAAGCTGGTCCCTGAAGAGACTGGGATAGAGAGAGGGATATGAGAAAAACCTAAGAGTTACATATCTGATTGAAATCTTAGGATAGCTAACTCCACTGCCTATAGACATGCCAACAAAATAACGGGAATTTCAATTTAATAGAAATGGCAGAGTCTAGTCATTGAACTGCACTAACACGTACCCTGAATCTTCATAAAAAGAGAGCAATACCATCCAGATCATAAATAAATTTGTGAATGGAGATTCTGGTGTTCCATTCTTGCTGTTTCAGTAAACTAACCAAATGAATTTGTTCAGAGGAGCAGACCATATAGACAGAATTTCTTTGACAATAATAAGCTGCTTAAAATTTATCTCAATGTTAGAATGTGTCTTTTCCCTTTACCAGTGAAGTTTTCCAAACAATGGAAGGTAGTCCTTTAGCTTTTGAATTTTCAAGTCTTTTATTTGAAAAAGCTTGTTTTCTTGCTGTTTCTAACTTGAAATTCCAGCTGGCTTTTTTCTCCTGGTTGTCAGAACCACAAGCCACAGGTATTTGTTTATCTGTGAGAGAAAGAACTTGGTATACACATTTTTTTAAATGCAGCTTGCTACGTCATTTCCTCTGAGTAGCTGTATGTGTATGAAGTGTGAAGTGACAACTTATGCTCTGTGGATGTGTAAGACTCAAGTTAGTACAATAGAAGTGTTGGAGACCTTTAGAGGAATCTGGAATTTTTTTAGGAGGGAGGTGGATATGTGGACTTCAGTATGACTCGTGCTATAGCTAATTCAACATAATTTGAAATCAGTGAGCTCTGAACAGTTGCCGATTCTAATGATGTAGAATAAGGTTCTTGTCTCTTTAAGTTAACCAACGTAAGATGTATTGCTTATGCTGTCTGTGGGAAGCATTTTGGAGCTATTCTGCCCCCTAATTTTTTATCACCATTCTGATTATCAATGTTACTGAGACAGAATGACTTGTGTTTTGCTTTTGGTACAGAGTGTATCTTGTTAGCTTTCACAGTGAGAGAGGAAGCATGAGATCACTTTTACACAGAGTGATACAGATTTTATAAAAATTTAAAAAATGGTGATAAAGACATCATGAGATTCAGGTTTTGCATGATCTAGATGATGTGTATCTTTTCTGGTTTTCTGGTACATCTTTCAAAGTGCTCAGTGTCATCTAGCTGATACGGCTACTTAGTTCCTACTGAGACTGATTAGGAAGACGTTTTTAGGGGTCATTACTATGGCTATCTGACCTGCCTGATTTCAGTTGTTGGATGTTGCTTCCAAGTGGGTTTTAACTTGTGTTGCCTATTTAAAAAAAAAGGCACTTTTTTTTTTTAAGTATATTGAGGTCCTGCTGATGTGGACGTATTGAGAGGAATTGTGACAGTCCTGAAAAACAGGAGTTTTCTTCTAAACTAGCTAGTTCATTGGAGTATGTGGCTTCAGATTTTTACAGTAGATTTTTAAATGACTAATATATTGTAACTTCAAACCTAATCTACTCATTGGGTTTGTAGTTGAGTAGATGACATTTGGACATCACATGCACTAGTATCAGTAACATACTTTTACAAGATAAGCTCTGATTATGACTTATTTTTAATTCAGTGCAATAGTAGAAAATTAAGAAACTGAAGAAAAACTAGAATTTTCATAACTTTCATATCCAGATAATTTCAGTAGTTACCTTGATTCTACTCTTATAAAAGTGGGAATGATTTTACAGTTGCATTTTAATTGGTGTAGGCTTTGTTGCCTTCTCACTCTGTGTATTTGCTTTTCTTTTTCTGGTGACTAAAGGCTGCTGGGTTAGGCTCCTTAATGATCAGTTGATTTAGATCAAACACAAAGCATTAAAAGAAAAAAGGATGTGATAAGTAAACCATCTGTATTGTATTTACATATCTACCATTTGTTTTTCTGAAGCATAACATGTTGCCAGGTTTGAAATAATACAGGTTGATTATATAAAAATATTTTCCCTGCCTACTCTATGCTAATTGTCAGAAAATTTGTATGGGTAAAATATTTGCACTGATAATGTGGTTAGCTTTTTATACTGAAGAAGAAAACACATTTGCAATAGGCCTATTTTTGTTCTTTTTCTAAGTGTAAACAACTTTAACACAGCTGAACATGGCAACCTAGTCCATTTGGTTATAATATCAAGGAAAGTTAGTTTAATGATGTTGTGGAAGGACTGAGAGACTTTATTAAGCAACCTTGTTTAGGAAGCTGAATATTGCATGCCTTGTGTGCATTACAGACCATGTGGAGAAAAGATCAAAGAAAAACAAGGCTATAGCTCTGTCAGAACCAGTGTAGGAAAAATTGTTCTGATACAGAGAAATTTTCTAAATGTTTTTGTAACTTACAAAATAATTATTATATCCTTGTATTGCCATTATGTAATACGGTATTCGTTGTAAATAAAAACTAGTGGTGCAAGTTAGGATGATGGCAATTTTCTTGGAAAATGACAAATATTTTTACATTGTTCAAAACTCATGT